TTTGGGTAAGTATGGGTCCGTCTCGTTCATCATATACACTAAAAGTAAGTTCCCACCATTTGGAGGCACAAAGCTACATTTCGGACTCCTTACCTCTTCCGGTTCCCAAATTTGGTCCATTTGATGTTCCTCCCTTGGATTGAGACCGTTTCACTCATGTTTCTCCTCATAGTCATGTATAGAACCTATTAATCCATGTTTGGGTAAGTATGGGTCCGTCTCGTTCATCATATACACTAAAAGTAAGTTCCCACCATTTGGAGGCACAAAGCTACATTTCGGACTCCTTACCTCTTCCGGTTCCCAAATTTGGTCCATTTGATGTTCCTCCCTTGGATTGAGACCGTTTCACTCATGTTTCTCCTCATAGTCATGTATAGAACCTATTAATCCATGTTTGGGTAAGTATGGGTCCGTCTCGTTCATCATATACACTAAAAGTAAGTTCCCACCATTTGGAGGCAAAGCTACATTTCGGACTCCTTACCTCTTCCGGTTCCCAAATTTGGTCCATTTGATGTTCCTCCCTTGGATTGAGACCGTTTCACTCATGTTTCTCCTCATAGTCATGTATAGAACCTATTAATCCATGTTTGGGTAAGTATGGGTCCGTCTCGTTCATCATATACACTAAAAGTAAGTTCCCACCATTTGGAGGACAAAGCTACATTTCGGACTCCTTACCTCTTCCGGTTCCCAAATTTGGTCCATTTGATGTTCCTCCCTTGGATTGAGACCGTTTCACTCATGTTTCTCCTCATAGTCATGTATAGAACCTATTAATCCATGTTTGGGTAAGTATGGGTCCGTCTCGTTCATCATATACACTAAAAGTAAGTTCCCACCATTTGGAGGCACAAAGCTACATTTCGGACTCCTTACCTCTTCCGGTTCCCAAATTTGGTCCATTTGATGTTCCTCCCTTGGATTGAGACCGTTTCACTCATGTTTCTCCTCATAGTCATGTATAGAACCTATTAATCCATGTTTGGGTAAGTATGGGTCCGTCTCGTTCATCATATACACTAAAAGTAAGTTCCCACCATTTGGAGGCACAAAGCTACATTTCGGACTCCTTACCTCTTCCGGTTCCCAAATTTGGTCCATTTGATGTTCCTCCCTTGGATTGAGACCGTTTCACTCATGTTTCTCCTCATAGTCATGTATAGAACCTATTAATCCATGTTTGGGTAAGTATGGGTCCGTCTCGTTCATCATATACACTAAAAGTAAGTTCCCACCATTTGGAGGCACAAAGCTACATTTCGGACTCCTTACCTCTTCCGGTTCCCAAATTTGGTCCATTTGATGTTCCTCCCTTGGATTGAGACCGTTTCACTCATGTTTCTCCTCATAGTCATGTATAGAACCTATTAATCCATGTTTGGGTAAGTATGGGTCCGTCTCGTTCATCATATACACTAAAAGTAAGTTCCCACCATTTGGAGGCACAAAGCTACATTTCGGACTCCTTACCTCTTCCGGTTCCCAAATTTGGTCCATTTGATGTTCCTCCCTTGGATTGAGACCGTTTCACTCATGTTTCTCCTCATAGTCATGTATAGAACCTATTAATCCATGTTTGGGTAAGTATGGGTCCGTCTCGTTCATCATATACACTAAAAGTAAGTTCCCACCATTTGGAGGCACAAAGCTACATTTCGGACTCCTTACCTCTTCCGGTTCCCAAATTTGGTCCATTTGATGTTCCTCCCTTGGATTGAGACCGTTTCACTCATGTTTCTCCTCATAGTCATGTATAGAACCTATTAATCCATGTTTGGGTAAGTATGGGTCCGTCTCGTTCATCATATACACTAAAAGTAAGTTCCCACCATTTGGAGGCACAAAGCTACATTTCGGACTCCTTACCTCTTCCGGTTCCCAAATTTGGTCCATTTGATGTTCCTCCCTTGGATTGAGACCGTTTCACTCATGTTTCTCCTCATAGTCATGTATAGAACCTATTAATCCATGTTTGGGTAAGTATGGGTCCGTCTCGTTCATCATATACACTAAAAGTAAGTTCCCACCATTTGGAGGCACAAAGCTACATTTCGGACTCCTTACCTCTTCCGGTTCCCAAATTTGGTCCATTTGATGTTCCTCCCTTGGATTGAGACCGTTTCACTCATGTTTCTCCTCATAGTCATGTATAGAACCTATTAATCCATGTTTGGGTAAGTATGGGTCCGTCTCGTTCATCATATACACTAAAAGTAAGTTCCCACCATTTGGAGGCACAAAGCTACATTTCGGACTCCTTACCTCTTCCGGTTCCCAAATTTGGTCCATTTGATGTTCCTCCCTTGGATTGAGACCGTTTCACTCATGTTTCTCCTCATAGTCATGTATAGAACCTATTAATCCATGTTTGGGTAAGTATGGGTCCGTCTCGTTCATCATATACACTAAAAGTAAGTTCCCACCATTTGGAGGCACAAAGCTACATTTCGGACTCCTTACCTCTTCCGGTTCCCAAATTTGGTCCATTTGATGTTCCTCCCTTGGATTGAGACCGTTTCACTCATGTTTCTCCTCATAGTCATGTATAGAACCTATTAATCCATGTTTGGGTAAGTATGGGTCCGTCTCGTTCATCATATACACTAAAAGTAAGTTCCCACCATTTGGAGGCACAAAGCTACATTTCGGACTCCTTACCTCTTCCGGTTCCCAAATTTGGTCCATTTGATGTTCCTCCCTTGGATTGAGACCGTTTCACTCATGTTTCTCCTCATAGTCATGTATAGAACCTATTAATCCATGTTTGGGTAAGTATGGGTCCGTCTCGTTCAT